CTATATCTCAGTTTGATAAGCTCGTTGTTTAGCTTAGTGAACCACATATAAGCACTTAATAAATGTTGAATGAGGGCATTCAGGCCTTATTGGGAGGGCCGAAAGAATGCAAACATGATTACCAGGTTAATCTTTGTGGCAAACTGTGGAGAAAATGAGTGAAGTTCTGGAAGTTGGAATGAATTAACATTCCAAGTTTTCAAGAAGAGTAGAAGAATATGCGAACTGAATGGATAGTAAATTAGATGTTCTCCAGGGGTGTACTTTTGAAGAGAGTATATTAAGTTCTGTTCATTTTATCGCCTGCTGTGTTCCATGCCTTGGGTTAGATGCTGAGGCAACAAGGGTAAAAAGACATGGTCTCTACTTTTGAATTGTAGAAACTAATGGCAAGCATATTGGCTCAGTGTAAGGAAGATATTTAAAAAACTAGCAAAAAATAATTTCTAATAAAAATACATATTCGTGTATTTTTAAAATTAATGTTTGACAAAATCTTGACTATATTAAATACAATTTTGAGAACTCATTATTGGAAAGATCATGGTGTTTTTAGTCATAAGACCTTGGGTTTGAGTCTTTGTCTGCTGTCTATGACTGTGAGCAAGTTGTTTAACCCCTCAGCTTCGTTTTTCTTATCTGTTATATTGGGGTTGTTGTGAAGATTAAATGAGATAATGTATGTGTAAAATCCCTTGCCTCAGTTCTCAGTGGATGTTAATTCCACTTGCTTACGAAAGAGTCCAACTTTATGTGATACCGATGGGAAGCAGTTTCCTGGAAGGTCCTTCAGCAATGGTGGACTGCTCCTTTCTGGGCATGTTTTCTTACGTGGTTGTTTAACCTGTCTTAGGGGTTGGACTTCATGACCTCTAAGCCCAAGAATAATTGGGAAGAAAACAAAGACCAGTCCATTAGCAGTGAGCACTCCTAGCACCCAGACTGTGGTTTTTGTATATATTGAAGAGAACCTGGGCTCCCTAAAGAAATGGTTGATTGCAGTTCTGAGGCAAGAAATTGATACAAAATGAGCCTGGAATGTTTGACATACCAGATAGAAAAAAAGCTATTGAAGACAACTGAAGTCATATTAAAAGGACTTAGGAGCCAACCTGAAGAGGTTCCTACTGGTCAAAGATAAGAAGATTTGAACATTGTTAGGAATAATTGCAGTAACTGCAGTGAATTGAAATAATAAAAATTTGTTACTGCTGGAGGATGCTAGTAAACAAAATTTTATTTTGAATACTAATAAAAGGAAAGTATCAAGGCTTTTTTCTTCCTTTGCTATATAAACTGTACCAGTGGGTAACTATACCAAATAGTATAGTATATGAGAGAAATTTTTGTTTTAGAGGTACTCGAGCTAATAAAGAAGGAATGATAGAATACAATTACTTTGTAACCTTAGTGAACTTACGGATCTAAGCATTGATCATCAGTAGCTGTTAGCATAGTATCATCATATGTGTTTCCTACTGGAGTAATACACCACCACATATGAAATTTGTTAGGTGCCATCGAGTTGGTTTTGACTCATAGTGACATTATGTACAACAGAATGAAGCACTGCCTGGTCTTGTGCTATCCTCACAGTCGTCAATAAGCTTAAGCCCGTTGTTGCAGCCACTGTGTCAGTCCATCTCATTGAAGGTCTTCCTCTTTTTTGCTGATCTCTACCAAGCATGATGTCCTTCTCCAGGGACTGATCCCTCCTGACAACATGTCTAAAGTATGTGAGACGTAGTCTTGCCATCCTCGCTTCTAAGGAGCATTCTAGTTCTTCCAAGACAGATTTATTTGTTCTTTTGGCAGTCCATGGTATATTCAATATTTTTCTCTAACACCACAATTCACAGGCATCAGTTCTTCGGTCTTTATTCATTGTCCAGCTTTCACATGCATAGGAGGCGATTGAAAACACCATGGCTTGGGTCAGGTGCACCTTAGTCTTCAAGGTGACATCTTTGCTTTTCAACACTTTAAAGAGGTCTTTTGCAGCAGATTTGCCCAGTGCAGTGAGCCGTTTGATATCTAGACTGCTGCTTCCATGGGCATTGATTGTGGATCCAAGTAAAATGAAATCTTTGACAACTTTTCCCCTTTGACAGTCTTTTCCCCTTTTATCGTGATGTTGCTTATTGGTCCAGTTGTGAGGATTTTTGTTTTCTTTATGTTGAGGTGTAATCCATACTGAAGGCTGTGATCTTTAATCTTCGTCAGTGAGTGCTTCATGTCCTCTTCACTTTCAGCAAGCAAGGTTGTGTCATCTACATAACGCAGGTTGTTAATGAGTCTTCCTCCAATCCTGATGCCCTGTTCTTCGTGTAGTCGGTCTTCTCGGATATGAAGTAGTCTTGGCAAAAAATAGAACCCATATCTGATTAAGCCTTGATACCCAGTCATCAATTTACATGAAACACTAGAGGGCAGGGAGACATGTTAAACTACATTATAGGGAGGCAACCAACAAAATCCAATCTTTTAAAGAAAAGTCCTTATCTTTTAGAGATACATTCTGAAATATTTACAGATGAAATGATAATGCCTTTGATTTCCTTCAAAATAATACTGATGGAGGGTTAAATGGGGTTGTGGATGGAGCAGGATTGGCCATGGATTGCTTATTTTGGGGGCTGAGTGATGGCTACATGAGAGTTCATTATATCTGTCTTGGAACTTTTATATATGCTCAAAATTGTCCATAATAAAAAGTTCAAAACAAGTAAATGGAAAGAGAAAATAAAAACATTGAATAAAAATTAATCTACAATCGCACATTATTTATGCATTTTTTTCAGTATGTCTATATGTTAAACACATTTATATATATTTATAATGCGTATACTCTTTTATCATGCCATTTTTGATATACAAGTATTTACTATGCTTTTGCTTGACCTTTGTAATAATTTTTAATGTATAATAATCTGTAAGACATTACCCTATTTTTTCTTTTGTGAATAAAGCTTAGCATTTTGGGGCATATATTTTAATGCTTCTGTTGAATTTTTCCTTAGTCTAAGCTACTGAGTTGAAGTGCCTTGGTTCCTTTTAGCTTTGGTGTCTGTCACTTTATAGAACCTTAAGGTTGTTCCCAGATCATTAGCTGCTCCCACTTGCTGTTTGACACAGAGCTGCAGTGGAATCCTATGTTTGCAGTTTTTCACTGAAGTTTATTTCCTGTCTTTTTTAATGAAAGAATTTATTTTACAATATATTTTTAAATTAGAATAGTCCCCTCTTCCCCACTTCAGTATCTTAGAGGTCTAACTGCTATTATCAGCTTGGAGTATATTTTTTTTATGTTTTTCTTCTTAGCAGTAGATATGGTCTTTATTTTTTTTTTATACTTGTCCTCTTAATTGATTTTATTAAAAATGTATTAAGAAATATTGCAGGGTTAAAAATAATAAATTATGTTAAACGCATGTGTTCATCATGAAGCTGGGAAACGAAAACATTACAGGTACACAGTTGTGGAAACTTCTTAGACATAACCACACACCTTGCAGGACTGAGGTACTAGACTTGAAGGCTAAGGACTGTAGTCTTGGGGGACATGTAGGTTAACTGGTATAGCTGTTTATAAAGATAATGTTCTACTTTAGTTGGGTGAGTAGCGTCTGGGGTTCTTAAAAACTTGTGAGTGAGCGTTGAAGATACAACTATTGGTCTTTTCCTGTCTGGAGCAAAGGAGTGTGAAAAAAACCAATGAGTCAAGGAAGTAATTAGTCCAAAGGACTAATGGCCCACATGAATCACAGCCGCCTCTAACCTGAGACCAGAAGAGCTAGATGGTACCTGGCTATCACTACTGACTGCTGTGACCAGGAACACAATAGAAGGTCCCAGTTAGGATGGATGAAAAATGTAGAAAAAAAATTAAATTCATAAAAAGGGACCACACTTACTAGTCTGACAGATTAGAGGAACCCCTGAGACTATTGCCCTGAGACACCCTTCTAAGGCATGCTTCTTAGCTGGAACTGAAGCCACTCCTGGAGGCCACCTTTCAGCCAAATAATAGACTAGCCTATCAAATAAACAGTAATACCTGTGAGGAATGTGTTCCATAGAGTGACCAACTATATGAGACCAAAGGGCAACATTTACCCAAAAGCAAGAATGAGAAAGCGGGGAAACCAGACGAATGGAACTGGAGAACCCAGGGTGGAAATGAGAGTGCTGACACATTGTGGGGATTGCAACTAATGTCATGGAATAATTTGTGTATGAATTACTGAATGGAAAACTAATTTGCTGTGTGAGCTTTCATCTAAAGCACAGTAAAATGTTTTAAAAAATTACATAATTAAATCTTTGTAATCTCCACTATCCCATTCCTTTCCTTCCATCTGCAGATATACTGTATCCTGAACTTTTTGTCAGTGCCACGCTTGTTTATGCTTTTACTATATTTTGCATGTTTCCATAAACAGGTTTTCTACCTTTTATATAAAAGTTAACATTCTTTATTGTAAGTGTCTGTATTTTGCTTTTTCTTTTATGTATCCTACTTTATTAACTATTAGATATCGCCAAATCATTCTTTGGGGTGATTCCAAATTATAATCCCACAACACAACTTTAGAGTTTTCATTGTTTCACATCCTTTCCAGTATTGTCAGATATTTTAATTTTTAGCAATCTGATGGGTGTAAAGCTTGTTTTAATCATGTTACTTTCATAAATTGGAAAAAAGTGTTTCCCCCTCTCTCTACCATCCAAGCTTATCAGAGACAGGCCTCGATAGCCTTTTAAGTTAAGGAATTGCCACATGGTTGTCTATTATCTCTCAGTGAACTGCTCTCAGTGTGCTGTGACAGCAGGTTGTATTAAAGCTAAACTTTGGTACCTTGAGTGTAATAGGATTTCTTTCTGCTCTTCTGAAAGACTGAAATGGAAATGTTTTACAGTATATTACATAAAAATGCAAAAGTGCACAGTGCTGAGATATTTGACACTGCTGTTTACTTTCCATGTCTCTCTTATTCTAGGCTCCGAGCTCTGTCCAGTGGTGGGAGTATTACATCCCCTCCTCTTTCTCCAGCATTACCGAAGTATAAATTAGCAGACTATCGTTACGGCAGAGAAGAAATGTTAGCACTTTTCCTCAGAGACAGCAAGGTAAGAAAATAGGAAAAGAGCTCAAAATTATGAATGAGAATTTGGGGTGTGTACCGTGATAGACAGTGATGGTCCAGTGGTAGAATTCTCACCTTTGGGAGATCTGGGTTTGATTCCTGGCTAATACATCTCAGGCACAGCCATCACACCTTCATCTGTGGAGGCTTGTGTGTTGCTGTGATGCTGAACAGGTTTCAGTGGAGCTTCTAGACTAAAATGGACTAGAAGGAAAGACCTGACAATCTTCTGAAAATCAGCCAGTGAAAACCCTTTGGATCACAATGGTATGGACTGTAACCAGTCATGGGGATGGTGCAGGACTAGATGATGTTTTATTCCGTTGTGCATGGAATTGCCAGGGTCTGACTCTACACAGCTAACAACAGCAACACAGTGATGGACAGTGCTGTATTGTTACATTTAAAATAACATATCCTGGAGGCAGGGCCAAGATGGCGGAGTAGTCAGACGCTTCCGAAAAACCCGCTTAAAAATAACACCCGAAAAAACAAGTGAATCGATTATATATGGCAGTCTGGCAGCCCTGAACATCAAAGGCAGAGTTGAGGAACCAGACTGAGTGGCAGCGGGAAGGAGAGACAGTTCGGAAGCAGTGAGGAGTTGCCAGACATGACCTGGCAAGAGCCTGAGTTCTTCAGGCCTGATCAGCTGGAGGGTGAATGGTGAGGCAGGCAAGCAGCCGTGCTTGGGAGACGCGTTTTCTGCACTGGGAGAGACCCAGTGCCAGAGAGTTTACATGGCCACCCAGAACCAGTGAGAAGCAGCCCTGTATCTGCGAAAGATAAGTACTTGTGTATGGCCTACCGTACGGATCAAAAACACCACTCTTAGGAAAAACCTCTCTACCATTTACCTCCTACCTCCCTGCTCTGCACTGGGTCCTGGACCGGCTTCAGTAGTTGCCGAGTCCCCTGGGCCAGAAGTAGGATCTGTCAGATGCCCGTAGCCATTCTCCCTCTCTTGGAGAGTGAACAGATTAACAAAGGGGAAAAAATAAACTGCCGGCTCCCCTAAGCCAGGAACCCAGGGTAGACACAGCTCCTTTGCCTAGGCATAGGTGTAACGGATCCATGTACTTTGAGTGCCTTTCTGCCTGCATACACTTGTGTGGGCCCATCCCAACAGCTTAGGCACTCATTACCGCAGTACAACAGGGTTTATACCAGCAGTCTAACTTTGGATGTTTCAGCTGTGAAGTGGCAGGTTCTTGACATTTGACACCGCTCTGCCCATTAAGCAGGGTCTTCACCTACCCACATCAGGGGCCTGAGGACTAATGGCTCCACCCACACCACCTAGCCACCTGTGATAGGGGCTCATGAATAACTGGTGCCCTCCAGTCCCTACAGCCTACAGCATTACGTGCTCATAGTCCAGCTGCAAAACCCACCCACCTATGTGCTGTAGGGGACAGGGACACTCCTTCCTCGTGGACACTCGGGGGTGGCCGTCAGCCCCCTGCCTTGCTCAGAGTATGTCGCCCTGCTGCAGCCAGATGCCTGTGCCTGTACCAATCACCCATGCCTGTCTAGGACTGTAAGGTGAGAGCCTATGCTACACACTTGGTGGCTGTCTACCTGGGCACCTGAACTGAATCCATACAGGAGAAGTGGGCAGACTCTTTTGCTCACATAACCTAGTAACAGATCTAACCACCTGGTGACAGGACATTAGCGC